GTTAACTTTAGGATATGTTATGGGCATTGGTTGTTCCCAGTTTGAGGTTATTATGAACAAAGTTGCCATGAACATCTTTGTTTATAACTTTTGGTGAACATAAACACTCATTTTTGAGCCAGAGTTGCCAGCTCATAAGGTATAGGTATATTGAACTTCAGTAGATATTGCTAAACAGCTTATTGCATTAAGTAATGTTCTCTTTAACAATTTCAGTTTTTTCACACTGTCATCAATACTTTGTATTGTTATATATTTTAATTTTAGCTGATCTGGTCATGTAGCTGTATTCCATTGTGGTTTTATTTTGCATTTTATTGATAGTTAATGAAGTTAAACAGTCTTTTTAATGCGTACAGATCATATGGATATTCTCTTTTATGCAATGCCAGTTCAAGGCTCTTTCCCATATTCAAACTGAGTTATTTTTCCTTTTGATTGGTGTGAATTCTTCATAGATTCTGGATACAAGAATAAATAGATGTAATTTATAATACATAGAATACATATAGTTTATAATGCAAGTATCTTTTGCTAGTCTCTGAAAGGTGTTTGAATTCTCTAATGTTGTCTTTTAATGAACAAAAGTTCTTAATAATTAAAATACAATTTATCTCATAATGAACATGTTTTATGCATCTTCTTTAAGAAATCTTTGACTACTGCAAAGTCATAAAATATCCTGTGTTCACTTCTGGAGGCTTATAGTTTTAACATTTAGGTCTATTATCTATTTCAAATTAATTTCTGTGTATGAAATGTACTTTTAAGGTCCATTATTCTCAACAAACACCAGTTGACTAACACTGTTTAGTGACTAGATCATCCTCTTCCTATTTAATTGGAGTAGAGCCTTTGTTGAAATCAGGTCTGTTGTTTTTGAACTCCTTATTTTGTTCAATTGGTTTGTCCTTCTACCAATACCATACTTATCATAGCTTTATAAAACATTTTGAAATCTGGCCCATTAAGTCCTCCACATTTGTTTTTCTACTTCAAGATTATCTTGGCACTCTAGGTCCCTTTCTTTTTCCATATATTATGGTCTGAATTATTTGTGTTCCCCCCAAATTCTTATGTTGAAACCTATCCTCCAAGGTAATGGTATTGAGAGCTGTGGCCCTTGGGAAGTGATTGCCCTCACTTTCTATAAGTGCCCTCATAAAAGTGGCCTGAGAAAGCTCCCTTACTACGTGAGGTGCAGCTGTCTAGGCCATTTGGGAAGTGTGGTCTCACCAGACACCGAACCTGCCTGTGCCATGATTTTGGATTTCTCAGCCTCTAGAGCCATGAAAAATACGTGTTGTTTAAGGAACATTTTAAGCCATCCAGGCAGCCCAAATGAACTAAATACCATATAATTGAAAAATCAGTGTATCAAACACACATATACACACTCACAGACACACACCAATCTAATGAGATTTTGATTAGGATTTCATTGAATTTAAATCTCAGTTTGGAAAAATTGACTAACAAAAATGTGCTTCCAAGTCTATTAGCAGAGTATATTCCTGCATTTATTTTCTGCTTTGTCTCAGCAATGCTTTCTAGTTCTTGGTGTAGAAACTTGTACATTTTTCATTGGATTTATTCCTGGGTATTTGTTTTTTGATGCCACTGGAAATAATATTTTTTTGGCAATTTCTAATTGCCTTATTTGTGTCTATAAAATGTAATTTGTTTTTGCATATTGATCTTATATCCAGCAGTTGGCTAAATTCACTTACAAATTCTAAATGCTTATATAGACTTTTTTGCATATTTGAGTCATATTATATATGAATAATGACATTATAACTTTTTCTTTCCCATTGTCTTATATTTTATTTCCTTTCATTGACTTTTTGTACTGGCTAGTACCTCCACAGGACAATATGAGGAAGTGTTTAATATTTCACTATTAAGAATGTCTCTTGTAAGTGCCCTTTATCATATTTAAAATATCCAAAGTTTACTGAGATTTTTTAAAATCATGAAGGGATTTTTAATTTTATCAGATGTTTTACATCTATTGAGATAATCATATGGGTTTTCTCCTATGTTGTTAATGTGAAAAAATATTTAGCATAAACCAACACTCCCTAGTTAAGATGTACTACAAACATGCACACACACACATATAATTTACATGGGTTTCATATTTGTATAGGACTTTTGTGTCCACGATCATGGGAAATATTTGTGTGTCATCTTTCTTGCAACCTGTCAGGTTAAGGTATTCTATCAGGACCACTGGGATTCATAATTGTGAAGTTACCCTTCTTTTTGTAGTTCCTGGGAGTACATGTTTACAATTTATATATTTTTTTTTCCTTAAATGTTTGGAAGCATTTGCCAGAGAAGTTATCGAGGCCAGTAGTTTTGAGGGAAGGTTTTAAATTACTGATTAAATTTCTTTAATAGATATAAGGTTTTTTTTCTCATGTTGCTTCTAAAATTATTAGTCCGTTTTATCTGGCTCTTAAATTTATTGGCGTAAACTGGTTCATAATATCTATCGTCCAGTTTTTCAATATCTAGAGAATTTATAGTAATGTTTGCCTTCTCATTCTTAATGTTAATTGTAGTTTTTTCTTGATTAGTCTTTTTTGAAGTTTTATCATAGTTTTTTCAAACAACTTTTGGTTTTACTGACTTATTATGCATCTACTTTCTGTTTGACTTCTTTCATCTTTTCTTCTCCCAGTTTGGTGGTTTTTAGTATATTCGAATTGTGCAACCATCACCACTATCTAGTCTAGTATATTTTTAACACCCCCAAAAGAAATTCCCTACACATTAGCAGTCATTCCCCAATCCTGTTTCCCCACTTCATCCTTATCCTGGCTCCTGGTGACTAACTACTAACTCTATTTGTCTCTCTGGCTTGCCTGTTCTGGACATGTCACATAAATGAAATCATGTGGTCCTTTTTGACAGCCTTCTTTAACTTAGGTTTTCAAGGTTTGTCCACGTTGTAGCATGTATCAGCAATTCGTTCTTTTCTATAGTCAAATAGTGTTTTGTTGTATGTATATACTACATTTATCCATCTGTTGATGGTCATTTAGGTTGTCTCCATTTTTGGCTAGTATGAATAAAGTACATTACTGGGAATATTCACACGAAGGAGTTTATGTTTTTATCATTTCTCTTTGTATATACCTCCGACTGAATTGATGGATGATTATATGCTAACTCTGCATTTTACTTTTTGAGCCACCACACAACTGTTTTTCCAAAGTGACCACTATTTTACATCGCCACCACCATGAGAATCTCAATTTCTCTACATCTTTGCCAACACTTGCTAATGTCTACCTTTTCAGTTTTTAGAAATCCTAGTGGGTGTGAAATAGTATTTGGTGATTTTTATTTGTATTTCCCTAATGACTAACCATATTGAGCATCTTTTCATGTTTACTGGCCATTTGTAAATCATCTCTGAAAACAGTTCTTCAAATCATTTGCACAGTTAAAAATAATTTTTATTTTAGTTATGAGTTCTTTATATATTCTGGACACAAATTCCTTGTGGGATATATGATTTTCGAACATTTTCTCCCTTTATATGGGTTGTCATCTTTTTTGATGGTATCCTTTGACATATAGTTATTTTAAGTTTAATGAAGTGCAATTATATTTTGTGTTCTTGGTATTTTAAGAAATCACTGTTGGGTTCATAGTCATGAATACTTCTGTTTCTTCTGGGAATTTTATAGTATTAGCTCTTACAATAAGACCTCTGATCATTTTAAGTTAATTCTTGCATATGGTATAAAGTAGAAGTACAAATTCAGTCTTTTGTATGTGAATACCTCTTTTTATCACACTGTAGGTTTCTTCCCAAAGGAGAAATTCCAAGTTCCAAGCTTTTGACACTTCTAAACTTACTTAAATCCATACATTTCCCTCTAAGCATCACTGTAGTGACATCCACAGTTTTTGCTATGTCCTACTGTCAGGAAAACCTATGTTATAATTCCTAGGGTTTTTTTTTTTTTTTTTTGTTGACCCTTAGGTTATTCAGAAGTGAGCTGCTAAATTTCCAAACTTTTGGGGGATTTTCTAGACTTGCTTCATGGTCCAGAAGATGGTCTATTTTAGTAAGTGTCTCAAGAAAATGTATCTGCAGTGGTTTAGTATAGTGTTGTTCATCCATCAGTTAGACCAGGCTAAGATCCCAGGCATGTAAATAAAGACACATCCAGTCTCCCAATTGAGCCTCCAGATTGAGATGTAGACAAACCATTCCCACCATGCTCTGGTCAAATTCCTGAGCCAAGGAATTGGTAAAATGATTGTTATGCCCTTAAGTTTTGGGTTGGTTCCTTATGTAGCAATAAGATGCATGTACTGTTTAGAGGCTCAGTGTCTGAGAAAATGTGCTTTTTCATAATCCTACGGAATTGAGGACCAGACTTAAAAAATTCTAGCACAATGTTGTATATATATTTGGAAGTAGCCAAGATTAACCAAAAAAATCTGACATTTTACAGCTGTAATTCTAGTAGCTAGTGTCACACTCCTGAACTTACTATGAAGTTATACATAAAATCTTTTTGTTTTTCCTATGCTAAAATCTACTTAATTATTATTATTAATATCTATAAAAGTAAAATATAAATGAAACTCCAAAGTGATTCACGGAGGAAATACATAGTCAACTATACTGTTAAAGGTGAAGTTCAGTTCTGAAATTCCTAAGAGGATACTAAATAATTGCCTGCTTCCTGAGTGAAGGGGAGAGAGTATTTCTAGCTAGTCACATTTCAGATTGCTGGGCCTACTGACAGGGTGGAGTAAATCTCTAAAACAAACAGGCTGGGGCTTGGTAAGCTGGCCACTGTTCCAGGCAGCTGCCACCCAGGTTCTGGTGCTCCTGGCAGACTTAGAGCTTTAGCTTAAGTGTAATGTTTGGTCTGCTTTTCAAGGTGTTGTATGAGTCCATAGCATCTTTTCTGTGCTGAAATATTTATAACTATTTATATTGGGCCACTAATGTAAAAAATGCAAGGTTACTGTTAAAAGAAAAAAAAAGTGTTTATTCAGTCCATCCACTAGGATCATAAATAATGCAATATACTAATATAATAACAGATGTTCTCATGCATTTATCACATTTATAAATACACAAGAGAGCTGGCTTAGAAGGCTGTTGGGACAAATTTGGAAAAGTATATTTGGCAATACAGTGGAAGTTAACAGTGTTAAGACTATCAGACAGATTCTCTTTCCTATTATTTTTAAAAATCCATCCTCTTCTATCTGTGAATAAATTGTAATGTTCCCTTATAGTTTCTACTTTCTATAAACATGCTAGAGCTAAGTCAGTTGTCAAAGTATCCAGGTTGGTAATTTGTTCTAATGGAAACCAGATTGTAGAAGAGAAATAACAAAGATGAAGTCTTTTGCATTTCAGTGTGGAGGCTGAAGCCAGAAATGTTTAAACAATAAAATGTGCCTGAATGAAATAAAATCCCAAAGGATAAATTTATAAATAACTTTGATACTCAATTTACAAATGCTATAGTACTATTATGTTTGTAATCTGATAACTGACCCATTGTCAGGCTGCAAAGTGATAAACTTTAAAGTTTAATTTTGCTAGTAAATTTCACATAAAATAGGGGACCTTTAACATAAAGCTTTAAACAATAATTTAAACATTTCTTAAATACTGAAAATGTGTTTTTAATTGTTATTTACAGTTAATCAACGATACCAGTGTATGGCATAATTTAGCCAATCGCCAGTCTTGCATCACTCTTTCAACATCTGCTACAATCTTCCTCATAATAAATACTTAAGCAAATCAGTTTAGTGAAGGAGAGCGATCTGTGGTCCAGAGTAATTCAATGTATGGCCATTTGGTTTGGAGACAGCGTTTAATGGGAGTGTCATCCGTCTGGAGCATGGGATCTTCAAAACCCATAACAACCGCGGTCCCCTCCACATACATGACCTGTTGGACAAAATAAAGCCACCAAGGTCCGTCAGTATTCCTGGCAAATTCTTATGAGGGATGGAAGTGTTTTCATAGGCTAGCAGATAAAGAAGGCATTGCATATTATTTCATATGGAACTTGGCTTATTTTGATGGAAATTATGAGCAAGATTTATGTTTACTGTTTAATCTGAAAATAAAATTGGAAACAAGATGGCCATGCAAATTGTAACTGCCAGGTGCCCACTCTTCAAGCAGACTGCTTCGGGTGTCATGCTGCTCACAAGATGGAGTGCTGCAGCGGGAATACAGCTGTGCCCTCTGAGCAGGGCTTTCCTCTTCACTTTTAACTTAAGTGTTGAATTTCCAGTACTGGAAGCAAACTGATGTTTGTCAGTGAAATTTGCTACTGTATTAAATACTTCTGAGCAGCTATACTGAAACATGAGGACACTTTGTACTACATGAAAAATCATGGAGAAAAAAATTAAAAAGGATGTCAGGAAACAAAAATCAGAACCAACCAAGTACTTTTTATGCAGTGGCAATGGGCATATAAGATATATACTGGCAGAGAGAAGAAAGTTTTATTCTGATTTCTTTGATTTGCAATGAAATACCACACTAACAAAAACTGTAACTTAATAGAAGGGCTCACTCTTAAATCATTCAGTCATTAATTTTTTTTGTACCAAGAAGTTAATAAAAGTTTATACCGATTGGTGGTAGCCTGCTCCTCCTGCTTGGCCGGCATTCTCTCATCTGCTTCCTCAGATATTTTCACAGCATCTGACTGTGCAGCCTACCACATTAGCTCCTGAGAAACTCATAACATATACAAGCTTTCCTTTACAGTTTTTCTGTACATATCTGATCTCTTGTTAGCATGTCAGACACTTATTGTGGGCATGACTTGGAAGCTTACTAGACACAAGTCATGTGACCAAGCAGACCAAGAACAGTGTTGGGAATCAGGAACTCCGGCCCAATCCCTGCTCTGCCAATGACTTGCTGTGCGGCCCTGTCTCATATGCCCCATCTGTAAAATGTGGATAATGTCTGACTGACCTACCTTGAAGGTCTAATTAGTGCCACCTAGTCCACTACTGATTAATTAGTGCAAACATAATATATGGGATGTGGTAGACAAAGCTAATTATCAAAAAGGGTGACTGGTAAGACCAAACATGTGATTCAAACGATATGGGCACAGGTAGTAAAGAATCACTGAGGAAGGCACAGTGGGAGACAGGCCGGTTCTGAGGTGGACCAGCTGTGTTCCAATCCTAGACCTGCCATTTCCTGGCTGTGTGACCCTGGCGAGGTGCTCACCTCTCTGTGCCTCAGTTTCCCCTCTGTAAAATGGGAATAAACAGACAGTATTTACTTTATAGGAGTGCTGTGAAACTTCAGATAAAACAAAGTACTTATTACAATTCTAGGTAAATGCTTAATAAGCACTAGTTATTATGTTTATTGACTTAAATCTGTTATAAAACACTTTTTTTCTCAATAAAAAAATCTAACTTGTTACCCTTTTTCCATAAAAGTCTATCACTGACTTTTACTAGTCTAAACTTGTCTTAGTAGTATCTTTACAACAAAGAGTAACAACATTATGTGGAGGTAGTTGTTTATGCCACAGTGAAACTATTGCTCCAAAATTCCAAGGGTTATCTCACTGATTAACACAGATTGGTGAAATCAAAATATGAACAATTCTAAAGTATGTTGTGATAGTAAAGAGACTATTAGAAAATCTTACACAGCAACTCTATAAAAATCAAACATTGTTATCTACTCAGAGAGATTGGTCTGCACCTGGGTTGATAAATATATGTAAATCATACTACCTTTTCATTATAATTTGACTGCTTCAATCCATTATAGTGGTAGACAGTAAAAGACTCTGGACCACTGGAGCCCTGTTATAAATAAAGTACTATTAAAAATTTTATCAGGCCATTTCTAGTTAGCAATTCAAAGTAAAAATGCAAGTTTCTGAAATCTACATCCTTTGGGAAATCATTGAAAACTTAGGTTTTCTGTAGTTAACTGCATGAACCTAAAAGTTGAAACAATTGCTTCTCGGGAATAGATGGGAAAGTGGGGAAGTGTTGATTTTTAAGTTTTCAACTATGTGCATGTATTAATTTTTTTAAGAGACAAGGTTCTAAAACACAAAAATATTTCCATTATAATTTACCATATTTCAGTCTTATCTACTAACTCCTCACCTTTCTGAATTCTCTGTTTTAGAGAAGTACATTACTCATTCTCCCATGAAAAGACTTTTTGTTCTTAGCTCTTTACACATTTGTGATTTTTAAGATCCTTTTTCCAGGATCTGGTTCAAATCTTAACTTCAGCTATGACATTTTCCTTGAATATGCTGGTTGTATTCTTTATTATTTTGGGACAATTGTTTCAATAATTAATTTGGGAATGAATCCTATATTATTTTGTGTCATCTCCTTAGCTGCTACTTTGAAATTCATGTCTTCTATTCCCAAGTAAAAATCAAAGTGCTCTCTATATCCCACTAAAAATGGTTTACAAAAAAACAGAAAAATCAGTAATTTATTTTATAATTTTCCAATCAAATTAGGTAATTTGGCTACTGATTTTCAAGCAGGGCTGTGTAACTGAACATAAGTTACATTCTCTAGTTCCAGTCACTAACTGACATATCAACAAAAGGCAGAGTAACACAGTGGTGAAGGGCTTAGTCTCCGGGGCTTGACTTCTAATCAGTCCCTTCCCAGCAAAAATGGTCAAAAGAATACCTACTTTATAGAGTGCCTGGACACAGCACATGCTTAATAAATGGTAGCTCTCCTGCTGTTCTTATTATAAACAAAGTGCCTTGAAAAGCTTATGAATATTCCTAACCCTTACCCCTCACAGCAAAGAAATGCTCTTCCATAGCCCCTACTTCAAGCATATGTAAAGATTACTGAAGTTAGATAAATATTTGCCTGGCTGTCCTTCTGTCCCCAGTTTTGCAACTTTACTTCATTTATTTCTGGCTGATTACTTATTTACTGAGTGTCACTGTACTAGTCTGTTAGGTATGATGCATTTTATGAATAAAGCCAAATAAGTGACTGAGTCATTTTGTGACTACAGAGAAAGAAGACAGTGGTGGTGCAGGCTATGATCAGATCTGTGACACACGTCTCAGCTCTTACAGGACAGCATAGGTAGGAACACGACCTGTCTTCCTCTAAAGCAGGAGGTCTCAAACTTTGCACCATTAGAACTAAGGTCCTGCAGGGCTTGTTCATCCAGATTGCTGGTCTCTACCTGCTAAGCCTCTGCTTCACTAGGGCTGGGGAGGGCACTGAGAATTTGCATTTCTAATAAGTTCTTGGAGACCACATTTTGAGAACCCAGTGCTCTAAAGGGGACCAAGAGCAGAGTCAGATGCAGTTTGTTTAGAGGAAAAACAAGAAATAGGGAAACAGTAAGGGATGAACTTGGAGAGAACAAACAGAAAAATCTGTCATCTGTAGAAGGGTACCAGAATGCTCTTTAATTACTTCAAGGTATACAATGAAATTTTTCCTGAATAAGTTCTTAGGATAACTTACTATAATATGTATCTTCCACAAGAGTTGCTGTCTCAATTGTTAACATCCCCCAAACATTTGCTGGGATATCTAAAACAGTATTAGATTCCAAAAAAGAACTTTAAAGAAACCTTAGTAGTTGGATTATGAAAAAAGTTTTTCACAATCCAATGGTGTCTTTCTAAACCTATCAGAAAAAAATTTTTTCATGAAGCATTTACCAAATTTTAAAAAGCTTAAGAGCTGTATTGTGATATCCTTACTTATACTCAATTTTACCTCACTCACTCTCTTTATTCACAGTAACCATCACAGGTAGATACAGGTTTAGGAAACATGGGTTCCTTTTAATTACTAAGACTGAATATCAATAATATTGTCTACTTTGTTAAAGATGACTTAAATGTGAGACAGCCTGACATTTGCTATAATTTTGTTCTCTTTTATAATAGAGGTGGAATAGAAATTGGCATTTATATTGAAACAGTGTTAATTTAAACCATGCTGTTATCTGATGAAATAATCATGATATGCCTGGCTAAATAATTTGGTTTAGTGGTATAATCCTTCACTTAGACAGGAAACAGGGAGGGAAAGACAAGCCTGAGCTTTAGAGAATCGGCTCGCCAATGAGGTAGACATAACTCAGGAGTATGGACACTGGCACATATTCTTACTAACTGAACTACTATACAACCCACTGGAGGACATTTCCCAACACAAAACAGCCCAGTTCCACACAGGGGTTTTTCTTTTACTCAAGTAATATTTCTTGGAACTGAGATTCACTAGTAGGACTGCCCAGTATATAATATATATACAGGCTCCTTTATCTTCCTTCCTAGTATTTAGAAAGATCTAAAAAGTTAGACTCCATCTATTATAACAATAGTTACGTGAGAGAAGGAAGACAAGGGTGAGAGTAGATAAAGAGGAGCTCCTCTTTTTACTCCATATACTCCTGAATTTTATCCTTCCTATAGACAAACAGTATCATCATGTTTGTATTCTGGCATGTGAACTCCCTTCCACCACCCCTGTCCCTCAAAGCTGCATGTTACTGTACTAGACCAACTCACACCCTTCTATCCTAATTGTGTGGCCAAGTGTTTACATAATAATAGTGCTTTCTCAGTGTTATATCTGTGTTTTAGAGCATTTTAAGTAAGAAAAAATGCTGAAACAATCACAAGATGGTTATCCCAATAGAACAAAACAATAAATATATTTATTTAACTACGTTACCTGATCAGGAAAAAATTCTTGAAGAAATGGACCCAATAATATGATTCCTAATCCTTCTGGATCTAATTTATTCTTCATGAGATTTATACTATGAGGAGGGGGGAAAAAAAGAAAGAAAAACAGTGGATACCAAAGAAGAAAAAGCTTATTTTTCTTTTTCATGATTAAATTACTAGTACTTGAACACATTTGATTGCCAAAAATCCTAAGAGCTGTTCTTTTTGGACCCTTAATGACAAATACACAGGAATGACATGTAATTTGCCAAAACTCTGGTTATTTTTAAACCAGAGTAATCTGTTACTATTTAGAATTTAAATTATGATGATGACTTTGGAATATTGTTCCTTATTAGGTAAAGTAATTTAAAAACCTAGGCTTATAAACGCAAGCTTATGACCTCCCACAGGCAAATTCCCTTTGTTTCATAGGTATGCCTGCATTTAACAATCAAATAGGGCATTTAACTTAAAAAATGTTGATTTCAAGCCCAAGGAGAAAAAGAAATAGCATCAAAAGGCAATGGTACAGCAGATAATCAAAAACATTCCCTAACCAGCTTATTTTCAAGAACCAAATGAGGTGGAGACTTAAAATTCTTAAATGATTTAACGTGAAGGTTAAACAGGTAAGATAATTCTCAAAGGGCTAGGGTAGAGTGAATTTCAGTAAATGGTGTGCACTACATTGCTCCAAGAGCCACTGTTGGTAATTACCCTCTGCGCAGCCTTTAACATTAGGGTGGAGCTAAGGCTGGTGAAATGTATTGTTTGTGTGCCTAGAAAAAAGGCAGAGTTTTCAAAATGAAAATGGTCTTTTCAGAAAAATTGTCATTCACCATGTTATCTCCCAAATGATAAATGCCACATTAAATAAACCTTATTATACAACATGCAAATAATACTTTTTAGTGGGTATAAGAGAAGCCAAGAAACAAACAAACAATATCATATTATATCTAACATATTTAATTTAGAAATTCTTAGCCTGGTCCTGTTAGTTTATGGGCTATTATAAATGTGACTAGGCCAAATACAGAGTGAATAATTCAGTCCAATCTAACTCAACTGTACTAACTTGATTATTTCAGGTACGTTTCATCAGAGTAGTCTGATGTACAGATGACGCACAGCCAGCTATGTAACAATCTGAGAAAAAAACAAACACCTAACTTTTCACTTTTCCTCCTTCCCTTCTTAAAAATTGTTAGTGACCAAAATTCTCTTTTGCAAATTACAGCTATGTAAAGATGGTTCCCATTGTAAATCAGTTTAGAACAAATACGGTAATTACAATTATACCACCGACTGGGCTAGGTCAGCTCTGTCTGAATTTCTCTCTAAGTTGGAAACAAGAATTATGCCTAGAGAGAATGGATAAATCATAGCTTTATACAATAACTGACATATATTAATTCAGTTATTCAGATATGAGTAGTTTGTAAATGTTAATATGTATTTCATACTTCCAAATAAAATACACCCAAACTACTTCAAAACAGAATAGGATCAAGTTCTATGAACTGCATGTACCCACCATATTTAAAGGAAAGGATTCAAGAAATGCAACATAACTGTTTTGCAAGCTAAAGCTTGGTCACTGTCACAGACTTTCAGAAGGGAAAAAATGGTGATCTTTAGTTTTCATATTTGATCAACAGATGTATATACATTTTTTAAGAGAGGTTTTCTCAGTATAATGAATAAAGACCCTAAACTTGTGGAAGAAGTTCTGGATGTGACAATGTATAAAACCTAACAGTGGGAATGAAGACAGGCAATAATGAAACCTCTACTCTGAAATACCCTGGGGCCATGAAGGGTTCAGATTTATTTAAGCATTCAGGATGTTTGATGTCTTTGATCAAATATCTTTATTTAGGACTGAAACTCAAGAGGCCTCCTGGCTGTTTAAGCAGGATGACCAGCAATACAGACATACAGAATGGTCACTACTTTCCCTGAAACTACTAAAGACACACACAGAATTCTTAAAAGTAAAAAAGATTTTGCAGTAAGAAAAAACAAAGTTAAAAGTATGTCAAGTCTCTGCTGTTAATGCTCATCAGCCTGATTTCTTCCTAAATCTTTGCTTTGCATAAATTATTATGTTTCATATATGCAAGTTTAAATTTTAAAAAAGGCAAAAATGTGTTGGTTTTTAATTTAATGGAATCTTTCTAAATATTTCCTATTGAGCTTACTATTCAGGATCTGAAACAAGGTCCAACGCTTTCATCACATCTTCTAGAAGTGAATCAGGTATAAATCCATTATCTGGGGGAAGAAAAATAACAGAAACAACTCTGAATAAGAACTTACTTAAAGAAAGGCTATTCTCACTGATCAGATTCCAGTGAAAAATTACATAGGTGGGGTACAAAAGGTTAAGGAAAAGCCTATTAAGTTGATTTTAGGCACAATGCCTATTATTATCAGATACTCCCTTATATTAACTAGGGCACATGAGTAAAGATTTATTTTCAAGGTTAGTTTCTAATTAAAAAAAAACACACATGACTATTACCTGAGAACTCCAAAGAAACTGTAAAGCCAAACTGCTTTGTAAAGAGGCTTATAGATTTAAATAAGTTTTTTCTACTTGAAGTTGTAACAATTATTCAGGAGTTAGTTAGGTATATTTTCTAATAAAATGTGAACCTTTAAACTTTTTGAAAGAATGTTAATGATGCACTTGTTTAGATATCTGATAATGTAAGAGCAAGAAAATATATCTCTGTAAGAGACTTGACTTAAATAAAAGCCAGAGATTTACCGGGAAAAAAATTCAAAATTGAGATGCAGAGTAGAATCAAATGTTGATAAAAGACTAGTTTATGGAAAGCATTCCTTTTTTTGGGCTTGATGAGGAAACAGCACTGGTAAGTGGTCCAGACTCTGATGATGCAATAAACATGACACACACACAAAGCTTGTAGGGCAGTTTGAAATCACAGTAGTTTTAAACAAGCACATAGTTTATTCCCTTAAATGTACAGTGCCTTAGCTCCTCTACTTACTCACTCATTCCTGAAGACTTTCTCAACTTTAAATCAGCTTCCAACACAATATCCTTTTCAGGGATTAGATAACTAAAAAAATAAAAATCTTATCATAGAGAACAACATGTCCAAAAGCCCTGCTTCTATAACTAAAACACAGAATAAAGGGTAATTGCTCTTTTAGGATGTGGCAATGTACTCTGTTTGTATCAGAAAAGAAACTAAGAAGTTATGATTAAAAAAAAAATCTTATTCTCATAAGCAGATGCTCACCCATTTGAAGGTAGGTTGGCCTTGACTAAAATGCGAAGAATCATTTAGGATAATTAAAAATGCAGTTTTTTAAAGTGGAGGTTTAATTTCAATTTGTCAAGTTACCAGTAATTTGAAGCACAGAGGTCCAAATGTAAAACAGGCTTTTTCTGGCCACTAGCAGACAAGAAAAATAATCTGAGTATGTTTCCATGCACCTGGGCTATCATCTATATTATACCCACTTGATAGAAGCAGTGTGGACTACTTTGGGAAAACTGAACAGTGCACACTTACCTTTTTTTTACCAGACCCAAAATTAGCTCCTATGCTAAGAAAGAGCTGATTGGCTGTATAAGGATGCAAATTACAACTAGGAAAACAGTGACCTTCTTAACTGAACGTGATTAACCTTGAGCTTGAAGTACCTTAAACATAGACATTTTGGAGTGTAACTAACTCTACCATGCCAGTAACTCTACATTTTTCCATATAGTTTAAAGCTAGAGATTATAACTTCCTCAATACCTCACTTTAAATATACTTAAGATTAAAAGAGGAGATTGAGAAAATGCTTACCTTTAAAAATATTTGACATTACTTTATTTAATCATACCTGTCAAGACAAATTCTTTAGAAAAATAACCACCAATAAGTCTAATAGCAGATGAAACTTAGATCATCTAGTATTTAGTCAACTGATTCCTTGGAGAACATGGAAGAGAGACAAAAAATGGTAAGACCAACAGCAAAAGAAATCTGAGAGATACCAATGTGTTGACTAGTCAAGCAGACCTAAGAAGCACTAAAAGAAAAAGTTGAACTTGAGTGTTTGGTAAATTAACCACCTAAATATAAATGGACTTCCATAGGCTTTAAAGCTCAGGAGACCATGGGGTGGGAAGGGCAGATGAGGGCATAGCAGTTGTGTGATAGCAGCTACTGGGTAAATAGTTCAATATGGGTTAATTGTTTTACAGCTTTGGTTAAGGAGGAATAAAGCTGTTTGCTGATTTAAAAAAGAAAACTAATTTTTATACAGATTGTGAAAAATGGCAAGCTTCTAGAGGTTGAGCGAAGGAATCAGAGTCACATTTTAAGGAGAAAGATAGACCAGTCATAATTTCCTTTCTGAAAGGTAAATGTACAATTTAGTGTCTTCGGAGATAATCGAATAAACACTATTTTTGGATTAAAAAAACAATATCGCAAACTTACTGAGTACTTGAATAATCACATAAAGTAGATATTGAGTCCATTTAACAGATGAGAGGGCTGAGGTTAGGAACTTGCCCAACAAAACACAGTAATGAGTAACAGAGGTGGGACTTAAACCCAGGTTCTCTGATACCAATCGGACTGCTTTTAGTAGTTTAGAAAGCCATTTTCTGATGCCCTGCGGCACTCCAAAATTTCTCAGTGGTTCAGTATCTTTGACCACATTGAAATATTTACCTCCATCCTTAATCTTTTTATTAGTTAAAAAAATTCCCATAAAACATGTACCTGAATACAAAGCATTCATCCAAACATTTTCCTCTACAAGAGATGCAAAAACAAAAATCATGGCCTTTCTCTAAAGTCTGTCTTAACACTTTGTATAGGTCTGACACCTGACTGTCCAGGCTCTGAGCACACACTAGTGTTATTTTTATAATTTCTAAATTTGAAATTACTCATTAAACTGAACAAAGTAATTATAGATGATATGTCAAGGTCCTCCTGCTGACATTAAAATTTTGGTAGCATTACAAAGGAAAAATTAACAGTTAAAATTATAATTTTGACCATATTTTATATATATGCTTGACATCAAAGTAATTATTGAGCTACCTCAGATCTTATAAAATCTGAGCTTAATTGCTTAGTGAGAATGAGAATCAAAATCAAATCCTTACTCCAATAAATTAAAAATAACAGGTTAAAAACACCTATTTATGACTTCAGCCTTTAAAAAAGATACTGTTAGTTGAGGTGGAGATTGCTTGATCTCCTGGAAGAACACCTAGAATCTGTCTCAGTTCTTAATGACCAGGCATGTAGTACTGAAGAAGTGACTTACTTCTTCGGTCACAAGGCTGATTTTCTCAGGAACTAAATGGTGATGGTAATCCCAGCCTATCTCTGAAAATTATGGCAAGGTTTTAATAAGACCAGGTAAAGTGCTTTAAACATTGTAACTTTCCATGCAGAGGCCAGGCATTATTATTTGTAGAAAGATCCCCACTTACAAATCAGGTTTATGTTCCAAAACATAGTAAGTCACCAGTTCAAAACACTGGAAGTTCAGTCTCATAGAGGCAATACTATACATGGTGATTAACCTGCAAGTGCATTTAATTCATACTATGCCTAAAGCAAGATGTTAGCAGGACTCAAAACCCATTTACTGGTCAGGCAGGTGGGGGTGGGGGGTCGGGGGGCAGTGAGGCAGAGCGGAAGTACTCACAAACTGAAATCTTCTTCAGCTTCTGTCTAGGTCAGTTACTCTACAAATATTCTGAAGTGGGTGACAAGGACAACTGTCCTCACACTAGCCTCCAGTAAGTGGAAACTGGAACTACCCAGAAGCTTGTATGAACTGTGAGTCTAGTAAATGTTCTGAGAAAGCCAACTGTTTAAATCTTGAAATCACAGCATGCTATGTTTTGGGGAGAAAAGTAGATTAGCTGATTGGTAGACTGCTGTATGAAAACACAGCAAACTTCTTTCATGTGCATGTCTCAGGACTCAATTCTTAAAAATGGCCACTGAGTATACATTGTATTTTAGTACTGGTAATATAAGAAATTCTAATTTTGTTTGCAATTTGGCAAAACAAAATGAACAGTACATGCCTGCTACCTCATTAATGATTTAAAAAAATTGCAAAAAGCAAATAGACAATACCACTGCTTATGACAGTAAGATACTAACCCTGTTTTTCTCATGGGTCTTTTACTCAAGCCTTCTACATGAGCCTTTTAAAGCCAGCCCAGGTCTCCTGTCTGTGAACACTCCTTCTTTCTCTGAGGGCATTTCTTTGTGCTTTTGTTTGCTAACATTTACTATCTCCTAAGACCTGATACTCTCCTACCATGTCCTCTTTCTTAAGAAACACATTTATTCTGTTTCAATGTCACTTCTAAAATTTTCACTACTGAAACAAATGAAGGAGTGTCTGTGAAAGCCCCAGGTCTGGTTTTGGAATGGTTTGTGGTGGCTGTGCTGGGGTGAGAAGGTGCTTGACATCTTGGACAAATCGCTTCTGATCAAATGAGGCAGCACTCTAAGGGCCTGACTGGAAACTCTGGGAAGAGGCCCAGTTTCTCCATCTGGCCATCCGAGAATGTTTTCCATTCTGAGAAGAATCCACTGCTTGTGCTGTAATTATGTCCTGAACCAGAGCAGGCACTTAACATGCATAAAGTGGTACTCCTCAGTGGAACAGGGGTAGAGAAAAGGGCGTTAAAGACAGCAGGAAGAAACCATATGCCTTAATTAAATCCTTAGGAGGATATGCCACAGCAAACCGCTCAACTCATTCTTTGAAATGTAGTTCTTTAAAATATAAACCCAAGCCTCGACCACTAACTTCCTTGGTTATTCCAATAACCTCCTGCCTCTAATGTCACTTCTCTTTAGTAAATGCTACATAGTTATTTTTCTTGTGCCCTGTCTTTTGACTTAAGTCAAACCCGAAGCTAGCTATTCTTTGCATGTCAATTGCTGTCTCCTGTTCTCTGCTTTTGCCTTCCATTTGCCAACATGTTCTCTCTCCCCTCTGCTCTTCATGGTAAGCTCTTTGACTTTAAACTCACTTTAATCATATTTCCTTAACCTTACATTATTTATGTCACTTTATTTTCATACTAACTTATTTCTAAAAACTGTACTTTAAGTTTGATCTTGACCTCAAAATGTATTAAAAACATTTAGGAATAGAAATGGCTTGTTTCTTTCCTATCAAAGCATTTGATTCAAAGCAGTAAGAGAATCACTGTAAGTTTGTCACCCTGCATGACAAACTTTTCAGTTATACAC